TTTGTCCCAGTCTGCCCCTGCCTCCTGCGGCGTCTCGTGGGTCACCTTCGGTCCTGCCTCCAGCGGCTCGGCGGTCGCCTGCAGTGACCCCTGCTCCAACTCACCGATCGCCTTCGCCGGCTGTGGCTGCACCTTTACCTGCCGCGGTTTTTGCTCCCTTCTCGCCTCCTCCGGTGTCCCCTTCTGCTCCCTTCAAAAATATTAATATAAAAATTATTAATACAAAGTATAAAGTAAAAATACTTAAAACAAATTAACCTGAACTTTACCTTTGAAAAGAATCATGGATGGTGTCATGCCCAGAGTAAGCGCCTTTGGGGGCGGTACTGTCATGCCCCGATCGTCCGACCCTTCCATGTCCTCGTTAACCCCATGTGGATTCCCCATGTTTACCAGCTGTTTCTGATTGTTGTCGTTAGTCCAATGTATTTAGTCCACGTTTCCGTTTGTTTCCCCAGTCCGGTCATTGTATTGTCAACCTGCAGCCCCCTTGGTTCCTGATCCCTCGGCTCCGATACCCCCGGTCCCTGATCCTATGGCCTCAGTCCCCCTGGCTCTTAACTTTCCAATCTCAGTTTCCTCAGTTCCAGTCCCCCACATTACAGACCCTTCAGTTTCAGTCTCCCCAGTTCTTGTCTCCCATGCTCCTGACCCCACTCCCATGGCCACAGCTTTCACAGCCCCAGTTCCTGTCCCTAGGAGGTCCCTGATGACCTGACCACCACTCCTCCCACCTTGATGGAGCTGGGGGAGGAGCTTGAGTGGGACCCCTCGGGAATTACCCTGACTGTTCCAGTGGACCCCTCCAGTGGGTCACTTCAGCCACCGTCCCCTCATCGCAGCAGATTCCGGCCGGGTTCCCATTTCTCAGTCTCCCAGAGAGGGAGGGGACACTGGCGTCAGGATCGACTCCCTGGCCTACCTTCGCTCCCCCATGTTTCAACTCCACAATCGCCAGTGGGTCCCCTGCCTGCAGCTCATTGGCTGGCTGCGGCCCGGTCTCTGGCGCCGCGTTGGTCATCTGCGCCTGGACCGCCTATGGCTGTACCTCCGCCTGCTGTGGCTATGGTTCCCTCCTCTTCTTCATCACAGTCCCCTTCGCCATCCTCCTCGCCACCTCCAGTGTCCCCTTCAACCCCTGCTCTGGCCTCACGGTCACCTGCTCTTCCTGTGGCCTCTACTTCACGCCTGATGAGGGTCCCTCCAGCTCCCCTGTGCTCACTCCCCATCCTGCTTCACTGTCATTTCCCTCTAGTTTCTAGTTTCCCCATGTTTGCTCCTAGTCCCTCCGTGCCTTTGATCCCTCCTGGTTCCTTTGTGCCCCTTGTGTTTGCCCCTCGTCCTTCAGTACCTTCTCATTCCTTTGTTCCCCCTGTGTTCCCTTCCTGTCCCTCTGTGTCTTCGTTCCCTGCTGGTCCCTCTGTGCCCCCTGTGTTTCCTCCTCGTCCCTCTGTGCCTTTGTTCCCTTCTGGTCCCTGTGTGCCTCCTGTGGGTGTCCCCCCTGGTGTAGTCCCTCCGTTGTCCCTTTTAGTGTTCCCCTGTCCTGTGTTTCTGTCTTTGGTGTCTTTGTGTTTGTCCTTGTTCCCCGTGATTTGTAGCTTATTGTTTGAGTTCTTTATGTCCGTGTTGTTCCCCGTGGTGCATTGATGTTTTTTGCTTTTGTTTCCCCAAGTTTCATCGTGTCCTTGGTCTCGTCTCCTCGCTCACCTTAGGCGTGCCCAGAGTGCGCACCTTTGGGGGGGGTACTGTCATGCCCCAATCGTCCGCTCCTTCCATGTGCCACGCCCTCTCGTTAACCCCATGTGGATTCCCTGTGTTTACCAGCTGTTTCTGATTGTTGTTATTAGTCCAATGTATTTAGTCCAATGTATTTATTTGTTTCCCCAGTCCGGTCATTGTATTGTCAACCTGCATAACCGCTTGTTTGTTTAGTTTTACTTCCATTAAACCCCGCATTTCCCTTTGCTCCTGGCGTCTAGCGCATTTGTCTGCGCTCCTTGCGCTGTGAGACACGACAGATGGTGTGAGGGAGATAAGAGAGAGGAGAAGAGGAGGGTTATTTTGTAGGACAACTCTCACTATAACTAACGGAATCACTGCTATTTGTTGGCTCACTGGAATCTTTTTCTTTTTGTGCGACTTGTGAAAAAAAATGCATGTGTATATATATATATATATATATATATATATGTGTGTGTGTATGTATATATATATATATATATATATATATATATATAC